ACTGGGCGCTAAAATCTGACAAACTCTGCTCTACCAGCTGTGCTGAACAGAAATTAGTTTTGTTTGTAGCTCTGACTGTGCTTTACAGTGATGTTATGCTCTCAGCAGTATGGGTATTCCTGATTTCGCTATTTAATATACTATATGTGGCTGATCATCCTCTGACAAGTGTAAAAAAAATCCTTTTTTTCCAACTATCACGATTTTATTTCTTCCAGCTCAGAAAAGGTGATGCTACCAAACAAGATCCCTAAATTATATCCAAAGAAAATGTTTCATTGCATACTATTTTTGTATAAAGACCTAGATGAAAAGGTACATAGATCGTTGAACATTTATCTCTCAGTTCTTTTTTCTATTTATTGAAATATGATGTGAATGTTTCCTTGTAATTGTCATTAAAACATTTTCTCAGTTTCCTTTAAATATTTCAACATTTTATTTAGCATATTCATTAAATTTAGGTCTGCACTGTCATGGCATTACAAGGTAATTATATAGGTTATCTCTGTATAAAACAAATACAAAGAGAATTGAAGAAATAAAGCCAAAATTGCAAACGTAGAAAGAATGTTTTTTTTGTTATTTGCTTTTCTGGAGTAATGAAGATTTTATTGATCTGTGTGTAATGCATAATTCATAGCAGATCAAGAAATGATTGCTTTGGGATAGCAACCTTGTAGGTCTAAAACCATACCTTTATTGTACATTTTGTTAGCTTGTCTGTCTGCTATATTAACCAATATGATGTGTTGAATTAGATCTTCTTTTTCCTTAAATTTTGTGAGACATTTTTATATAAAGTAGGGCATCAATTCATAAAAAAAAGTTTAGTTTTGAATTCTGTAACTCAAAGTTTGCTGCCAATGACAATCATGAACTACACAGCAACAATCTAGCTGTCAGTCTGCTAAAGAATCTGGTTGTCATTCGAAATTGTAAAAATTAGCTGTTTTTTTGCAACATAAAACTGACTAAAGCTAGACTAAAACCTTTTTGAGTTTTAGTCGACTAAAACTATCACATATCGTAATGACTAAAATGTGAATAAAACTAATAGTAGTTTTCGTCCTGATGGCTAAAACTAAGACTAAATCTAAGATGGCTGTCAAAAACAACATTACCGGTAATTGCTTGAGTTGTTAGACCACAAAGATAAGTTGAAGAGTTGTGATGTAGGTTCCGGTATGAATGGAAGCATTAAGAGTAATACAAAGACTGTTTGCTTGTCTGTGAATGATGGACAAAAACAAGTGCGGTAGGAGGGAAGATTGGGTAGTGTCTGGACATTTAAACAGAGACCTTTAGGAGAAGAAACTCATTCCTGGAGCCTAATGAGACAGTGTTCTGCATGCTGTTCAGGTGGTGGTTGAGCTTTAACATACTACAAGAAATTAACTTTGAGAAGTCCAAATGTAATAACAAACAAGACATGCAAAAACCAAAAGGAACATTGATAAAGTTTAAATGCCAGCATATTTGTTAGTTAAGTTAGAAAACACAAATGTCCATCTGCTGGCCTGCTTAATGCTCCTCTTAGTGGTCCATTGGTATTGCTGTAATTCACTAAGTTTCAAAACAGACGGAGTGTAGGACACAGATGTGTCATCTAATCAAAAACATTAACCAACGGCTAAAAGAGTAAAAGAGTATATTGAATATTTAAGCTTCAAGCTGAATGGAGGGGATTGATGTGCCACAGTTGATATTCCAATCTACATAAATAATTAGTCTCAATAATTCCCCCAGATAATCACACAATCTATCAAAATCTGTCTCTAGGACAATATTTCTTTTTCCCCAGTGAGATTTTGTTTTTGTAATAGATACAAAATAATTCACACATAATTAAGGATCATATTTATTATCAATCTCGCTAATGTCTGTTTCTAAATAATTATATTACTGGAAAAAAGCAAGATAGATTAAAAGCAATTTACTCTGCGTTTCTACAGGTTATACAAAAAACTTCTGAAACGGACACAGAATTTTAAACATATTGGAGTTGATTAAAAAAATAGCATCTATAAAATGCTTCCTCATTTCTTTTTGGATTGAGGGTTTTGTTGCCTGAATTATCCTAATGTAAATATATATATTCATAATTAGAAAGGGAAAAGTTTGCTAAATAATGAAAACTAATGGAAGTAACGTTTTTGTACCACATGGAGTTGCAGTGAATTGAACCATAACATCAAGGTTAAAATAGAGAGATGGTCTACTATTGATGAGATGAGGTTGTGTAACTTTTTCAGTCTGTCTCAGCTTCCAATTAACTGCAGTTCTGCCTGTTCGGGGATCACTTTGAAAGGGCATGTGGTGTTAGCCTTCTCTAGCCATAGATTTTAGGATGCACAGAGGCTTTCTGTATTTGTTTTCAAACCATGTTATACCCCAGTAGAATATCACTATGCTAAAGATTTTCCAGATCTGGAGAAAAACAAACTGCAGAATTCTTACAAATAAGACACATTGAATTATGCAAAACAAAAATAAGTAACTATTGCAACCACATCTCAAGGTAGTGATCAGGCCTCAAATCTGAGTTAGTTTGGCTACTTTCCTGTGATTCTCATTCTTGTTCAGGACTCCAAGTCCGAGTTTCTAAGAAGGCAGTGCATTCAGGAAAGGAGTCACTATGAAACGCTCATAAAGCAATCGAAAGAAGATTATGGAAATCAGTAGCCATGTTTTGCTATTGTGTGAATGAGAACAATAGAAAATCTATAATCTTTTTTTTCCTGAAGTTGTTGTTTTTTTAATACTTGTCATTGTTATCATTTTCTATCATTGGGCAAGCAAAGAATCCTTTTAAATTAAAAAGGATTCCTTAATTGTAGAAGCTCATACTCAATGTTTCAAGAAGATATTCATTCTAATGATCTGGAAATAATTGTTTGTTGTTGCTATTTTTTCTTTGGCTTTTCTTTTATTCTACCAGGTCTTAAGCTTTTTTTTAATGGACCTGGTGTCATATGGGAACACAAATAATCTTAGTCATTTTTGTTTTAACATGTGGCTCTCCTGAACACATTAACAAGCCTGCCTTTAAAAATATTTGATAAAGCTTGTTATTTAAGTGTTTCTATGATTGAGGTTTTTACTATATATGAAAATTAGATTCCATAGTTCTCTTCGAATGTGTTTGATAAACTCCCAAATTTTAGACTTCCTTTTTAAAGCTGTCTTGATTAAAAATCTCTAGGCTTTTCAAAGTCTGTCTTTGTTCTTTTGCAGATTTAATTCTTTTTAACGTTGTTTTTGTTATGAGAGGCAGAAATGTTGAGTAAAAACATTTACATACTCAGGCCAGGCTTGAGTATTAGATATCGAGTATGTGTGGAGATAAAGACAGAAAAATAAATCTGGTCATTTCCTTAACTGCCCTTTTTTTATTGAAACTCTCTGTAATTAAAAAGACGTCTGACCAAAAGTCCCACTCTCCTCGATGACAGATATTTTTGTAGCTTAAGTAAAGCTTTAATTGTTATTATTAAAAAAAATCCAATGCACATTTGACCAATCATAAAAATAAGATTTTATCATCTATAATTGTTTTTTTTTAAACAAATACAAACAGTTCTGCCAATTTTTCTATAGTAGAGGCGTTTTTGAATAGCCCTGTATATATTGCCCATACTAATTTGTTGCATTAGTAAAGATTGATTGATTGACTTTATTGATCTTGCAGTGGACAAAAATTATACCGGGTTATTGCACAGGGTATTTACACTGGTATTTATATGGATGTATATTTAAAAGCCTGACAGTTTTTTAAATATTACTTTTTAAATAAATTCAGATACAATTGTACAATTTTTGGCATATTGCTTATATATTATATATATATTTATTTTCAGCTATGAAAAAGTTATCTCAAATAAATTTCCCTTAACTTCAGAAGCCAACTTCTTCATCTTTCAAACAATTAGAGATGATTTTACTGGGCAAAACAAATAGAAACAAAGAGAAAACAATGTTTCACATTTTAAAACACCTTTGATCATTAATTATTGTAATTTGGAACCGGAAAATCAGTCATCCTTCCAATTGTTGAAAGATATTTTTTTTATCTACTTTGGAACTGAAAGAGATGATTGTTGAGTGTGATGAGTTTTACAAGCCCTGGCCCTAATCTGAGATATATATAAATAATAAAAACAATAACAAACACTGTTAGAAGTGTATTGAATAAGAAGTCTGGAAATGTATGCATTTTGACTTAATTTTCATGTTTTATTTGTTTTCTAAGTATCCACCTTTGCATCAATTGGCTCTCAAAAAACTAAAAAGATAATGTCTTTTCATAATATTGTTATATTAGGTCATATTTCTGAAATAAAAAACACCCAAAGATTACTACGAAATACTCCTGTGAAACAAAAAAGTTGAAAAACATTTCACAGTTTAATTTTCTTTATACTAAACAGAAAACCTCTGAGATAAACTGCACGTAGATGAGTTTTGGCAGTGGACTGATAGGAGTAGTGACGGCTTGTGACCACAACAAAAGCGGGTCTAGAAAAAGAGAAAAGTTCATCTAGCTTGGGGATGAGTGAAAGGATGACCGTCTCAAATATGGATGAATCTAAAGTGCAAGATCTACAATTTAATAAAATGAAGAAAAGTCAAAGTAACAAAACAAAATAAAACTTCTTCACATTCAGAAATACTGGACAGTTTGGATTTTCACCAGTGTTATATTGGTGCACTGTATAAACAACTAATAAAAAAAAACAAGTTATATAAGCAATTCATTAAAACAAAGCATCTGTTTTTAGTTTCTTTGCAACCAAACTGTCCCTATAATGAAAGAAAGTTTTAAGAGTTATCATTAATGGCAATCAGAAAAAAGAAAACACTGGAACTGTTTAAAACTAAACTTTTGGGTCATCCTAATTGTTATAGCTAAAACTATAAGGCTAACTATAATACAGTAGGAGATTTGTTAACTCTTTTAAACTAAAAGTTTTCAGAGTCAAGCGTGTAATTGGGCATACCTGTGTCCCCCCAGACTGGCAGGTACTCGTCCTGCTGGATGTCCAGCATGATCTCCAGGCCGTTTCCTGTCCCTCCTTTCATGGTGGTGCGTAGTGTCTTCCCTTCCTCTGCGGCATTGAACATGTAGCACTTCCCATACCTTGTAAATACCTAAGAAGAGCATGAAATGAACCATGAGAATTTGTTTTAAAGATGTAGTATGTTGACACAAAACTGTTTTAAAGATCTGTACAATTAAAGCTTAACCAACCAAAAGCAGGATATATATTTTGTCCAACTATTTCTTATAATAAATGAAGACTTACAACCTTTCTAATGTGACTGGGACATATTTGACAGTCTGAATCCAGTCTATCCAAATATCATTTTATTTAATTTCACAATAGACTTGAGTAGCTCATGGAACTAAGGAGCAGTCAGAAGGTAAACACTTAAAGAGTGACTTGTCCATCCTGGTACCAGAAAATATTCATCATACACCTTCCTGTGAATGTTTGCAACACCACATCAGAGCTGTGTTGGAGTACATGTGAGTGGATGCTTGTTTTTTTTTCCTCTAAAGTATTTTTACCACCGTTTCACCACAAGCAACCAAATGACTCAGAGGAATCTATGAATAATATATTTGGTTAAAACTGCACAGGGATGGAGAGTATAATTTTGTGTTAGTGGGGAGATGTGTGCGTTCTGCACAAGCAAAAATAATAAGAGTGTATTTATGTCCCTTAAGCTCATGAATATTAATCACCAGATGAAACATCACTCTTAGTGCTACTGACCAAATACCATGGAAAGTGATGTTATAAATAAATTCATTCAAAGGAGTGATTCTATAGCATATGATACAATCAAAGAAGCAATATTATTAAATCCAACTCCTGCAGTAAAAACTATGGTTACAACCTCAATTGGTTCTAAATACCTTAAAAAAAGAAAAACAGAACTTTGAGGACAAAAAGCAGTTCTTGAAGAGATACTGACCAACGATTGAAACAAAATTGTGAATTTTCATTGTCCCGAGAAAAATACATCAAAATAAAGAAGTAATGGTTTACAATATTAATAGAAAACAGGTTGATAATGATTAGGTGGCTCTAAAGCTGACAATAAGCATAATTACTGCATCTTCAAATAATCTGTTTTCCAAACACAATAATTCATTTGTTAGATGTTGGTTTAACTTTTATAAAACAAGTAATTAGCCTTCATGATTGCTCTCAAATGGGGTTTGAGCAAAAAATTAAGAAGAATTTCAAAATGTAAAGCTTGTTGGTTTATAATCTATTAAAGCACAGAGCCATTACCATTTCTTAACCTCTTTGTCTGCTGTGCTTTGAGATAGTCATTTCATGCTCTTCCTCCATAAATGGTTTTACAGACATGACTGATCTGGTAGCGGTTCCCGTGCCGCCACTGAGGTACAGCGTGTCTCTGGAATGTGAAGAGCCACATTAGAGGTTCATTCACCTCTGAAAAACAGACATGCTCATGACAGATACGCCTTTGCACAGAATAAATGACACACCACAAGTTTTTGGAGCTTTGAGATAGGGGTAAGAGGGTGGATAATATGTATTCACTCTGCAGCCATTACTCATCCAAGAGGGTTTTTTAGCAGCTTTTTGGAAGGAAAATAGAAAGTGAAAGCATTATACTGGTATTGGTTTATGGAAAAGGTGTTTGTTTGTCAATTTCATTTGCTAAATTACTTTGACTCCTTTTCAGGGTTTTTAAATGGTTCCTCAGATACATTTCATTAACACAGCTGTTCCGGTCTACCTGAAGGTGAAGTTTCATAATTGACTTGCACTGCAAATTGGTCAAAGCCTGTACTATTGAAAGTAATTACCCAGCAGTCATTTTCTCCTCTGCTACACATTTGTATGAGCATGTGAACAAAGCCCAGATTGCCTCAATAACATCTTCGCTTCATATCTACTTCATATGGCAGAGAATTGCTTTTCATGGTGCCCTGGAGTCCAATTTTTCAAATTTCTACTGTTAACTGATGAAACATGACAAGCATGGGCAAGGGACTGGCCATCATCTTGCTAGACCTTAACCAGGTCAGCAACTTGGGGATAATGGAGCTAATAAGACCGTGCTCTTACTTGAGGAGAAAATGATGCCAATTCAAGTAAAGCTATCAGATAGGAGAATGTTTTCAAGTAGGTCTACAGTGAAACAATAAAAACTTTCTTCCAGGATGCAAGCCTGGCATGAAAAGCTCCAATAAATCAGATACCAATCACAAAAGTATGAAATTACAATGTATAGTGAAAATAAGCTGCATTATATTATTATTTTTTTTGCTGCAACTTTGTTCTAAACTCCTGGATGCAATTCAATGCATTATTTAAGTCATGAAGCCACCTGTGTTCATACACGCCTCTCTGTCTATGCAACGCGTTGAGAACACAGAGGGAATCCAGTCCTCCCTCCACTCTGTCTGTGCTACATTAGTGAACATATACCTGGATCCACTATTTATGCTCTCCAGAGTAATCTGGCATGTCTGTTTCATTTTTGAAATGTCAGACTCTTTAGCCGCATATATCACATTTCCTTCCCTCCTGTTCAAACCAGACATCAGAACACCAGTAACGAGCAAGCAGGCACACAAATAACTTGACTCCCAATTAAAATTCCTCTTGACCAAGAAAAACATGTCTCATTAGCATTCACAGCTGCATGTGCAAATGTCTGGAGGAGCGGGTGCAAACATAGCATGACCTCGCCTGTTTGCCATATTGTGTCTCCTACAGAGGAGAAGTCAAAGATGACATGGCTATTGGTGTATGTTGCCGTCATGATGAAAGGTCAGTTGTTACCACCAACCGCCCACAAATTAGATGCTAAAACATGCCCCTGGGTAGAACAGAGACCACCAAACACTGCATATAGAATATTGACTTGCAGTTTTAACTTATGACTTGAAAAAGTCAAGGGAGGCTTAAGGAGGGTTTTGTCAAAACAATTTTTAAAGATAAATTTAAAAAAGCCAATTATTTACTGAACATAGAGGAGAACTAGTCATAATGAAATAACTGTTCAAAATACAAATGAAATCTGCTTATAGAGGTCACGGATATAGTTATCAACCGCTTATAGTGTTCAAACTGGCTCTGGACCAACTTGATCACTATAAGCAGATTCCACTGTACATATTTTCCAGCCACATATCACAGTGCTATAAAAAGCCATTGTCCCTTAGTCTTAAATTTTTCATTTGAACTAAATTCATATCAAAGAACAATATTCAATGCAAAAAGAAATATTCAGATGGAAGTTAAATTTCTCAGGATTAAAAAGAAGTGGCACTGTTTAAGAAGTAACTTCTCCAAAAGCTTAAAGGTAGTAATGAGCAACATACTTTCAACATTATGCAAGAGAGTTTTCCTCATTCTCCACTACAAAAAAGTATCTTACTTATTCTGGGTGTTTTGCAGGGAGGGATTATATAAAAAGGAAATTGGTGAATAGCACATTTAAAATTGAGGAGAATAAATAGCAAGTACGTTTTAACAGTTCTCATAAGCTATTTTGTGCAATCTGGCCTTATTGTTCAGCAAATCAATAGCCATTATGTGAGAGTCCAACTCTTTTTTTTGTAACAAAAGCAAAAAGAAATAAAGCTTGAGGCCTGAAACAGGGAGGATACTTCTTCTGGAAGGTTTAATTGGAAAGAAGAAAGGAGATGACGTTTATGGAAAAGATCTCGGAGGTGCAAGGCGAGCATTTTTCTCCACTGTGTGGCAGCAGTAAAAGTAGTTGTACCGCTCAGGGGATAAATAATTCAGACGGCTGCTGTGTTAGTGCCAGGGTTGGCCCTGAACATGATAAAGGAGGGGATTTTAGGCACACGCACTCACACACACACAGCTACCTCAATCATCATTACAGTTTTATACATGCCACTCCACTACCTGTAAGCCTGACTTACATCACGTGCAACTTAAACACCCCTGCATCCACATTTATCAGATTAAACAAATTCTGTCATTTATGAGACATGTTCTGAGTTTTATGGAACATATTTATCATTGCAGCCTAATGTAATTTAACCCCCGTGCTCTGTAATATTTTATATCACAAGGCAGCACCTTAGTGAGTCAGAGCAGCGATAGGACTCAAAGGATTGCAGATGGTGCTCCCTGCTATCTATTTATGGTTTAGAGGAGAAGGGACAAGGGTGCAATGAACGTACAAAGAGAGCTAGAGAGATATAGAAGCCAGTGTAGGAAAGTAATCTGGGCTCAAAGGACATATAAAATACTGTATTTTAAATAATTAGGCCAATAGCTTTAGCTAATCCCTCCAGAACAGCTTGAATTATGTTAAGTTACAACCCATAATCTGTAATGTCCTTTAAAATATGCCTGATTTGATTTAAATATATAAAATAAAATATAGATTCAATACACGCATAATAACCAATCCATTAGAACACTGTTTAAAATCCAAGTATGTCAGGAAATAAATGTAGATAATAATTCTAGACTTTAATTACAAACATAGTGGTTTATTTCAGACATTTTTTTTCTTACCTTAATTATCATAACATCTAGAGAAAGCTGAAAACAACAGTTGGAAGCTATTACAATGTTTTGAACATTAAATAAATTACTATTTGGCCCAAAACCCAGGGGTCTTTGACCTGCAGTTTCAGAGCTACATGCGTTTCTGAGACTTCAGCTCCTCTGCAGTAGCTCTCTGCAATAAAACTATCACATGAAAAGGTATTTTCATGTGATAGTTTAGAGATTGTAACTGAGTTTTCTCCGAATTTACATTAAAGAATGTTCGGGTATCATTTTTTAAATCACCATATAAAGTGCAAGATTTATTTTTTTGCCATAAAACTTAAGATTTTTTTTCCTTTCTCAATACATAAAAAAATGAACAAAGTTATATGAGTGTCCTTAAGTTCGCTGTATTTTTTGTAAGGCAAAAAGTATCAAGAATCTTAGAAGCTCCAGAAAAGTTCTTTTTAATAAACATAACTTTTAAGCCTTTAAAATACCTTTTACTAGATCTGATGTTCCTCTGAACCTCAAAACGAGTACCATAAAATGACAACTTTGAGTGACCAAATTAGTCACAGGGAAGTGTGGCTGGATGGGTGGAAGGACTGTTGACATGCCCCTCTT